AATCATTTGAGACTGTTCCTTTAAAATCGATCAACTTCGAATTCATCGGTAACTGCTTGCAAAGAGTACATCACTTTAAAAGTAATGGGTATCGTTTAATCGACATCAGTTTGCAAATTAAAGCCAAATTTACCACATTTAAAAGCATCTCAGCTCGGAAAAATGGTCGTTATATAAGTGAACCGAAATTTTAAAGCCAAGACACCCGTTATGAAACGTTACTTAAACCTGATTCAAACGTTGTACAATGTAAATCATAATTCTGGAATCGATACTAGTTGTTTTAATGCAACAAGTATTTATGATCATGACTTTGCCCCGCTTCCTTTCCCAACAGTTGTTGAATTCATAGCTGTCACTCACTTTAGTATTGACTTTAATTGAATCATCTCTACCTTGAAGTTAATTTTGATGTATTAAATTTGCTATTTTGACAATAGTTCTATATCTTAATTGTTACTTTTTGCTGCCGTAATAACTTTTCAAATATCACCGCTATGACATTGCAGAGTATTTACTAAGTTTGAATCTTCTAATGGTGAGATAATTCTACCTGAAGTTCAGTAATTAACTCTCAATGGCTTCACTTCAAACAGCTTTGCTTTGCTCGATTTTGTGTTAAAATTTCTTGATCATATTCTACATCAAATGCATGGGAGCATCATTTGTGACTAAATCACTCCTATCAGTTTCTTACCTCTGTATGGTGTTTATTTTATTTTAATTTACTGCTTTTATGATTTTGACTGTACTTTTGGACTTGATAGTTTTTCAAAGTTTAGTTATGAACAGTTGTATTATTTCCAATGCCTACTTAGCTTCTTGTTTCAAATCTAAGCTACTTTGAAATGCTCTCTTTCTTCTGTTTTTATTTCATTGCTAACTCAGGGCAATTTCTTTACTTGGGTGCCAAGTGTTAATTAAAAAAGTGGATTCTGTCACCATTTGAAGCAATGATTTGGTTGCTAAGTCTCAATGGTTCCAAAAAAAATAATGTTCTCTTCAATTGCAATACAAAAAAAGATTCAAAGACCTTGAAACTTCACTGAAAACCAGTGTTGGAGGTTAAAGGGAAAAATTATGGATTTATTTTTGTATTCCTGAATGCTGGTTTGCATGAAGTATACTGAGAAAACCCAAAATAGATTCCTGCTAACATTACTAATATTAACATTCTAGTCTCATACAGTCAACTTTCATTGGCAGCAAGGTCAGGTTGCAATCTCACACCTTGTTGTTATGAGCTTAATATTTATGCTTGTTTTTCTTTGGAATTTTGTTTGTGATGTTTTGTCGTTGTGTGCATTTTTAAAGTATATGTGTTTGCTTTTAACTTTTGTAAACAAGCCTCTCTGAGAATCACTATGTTGTGAGTGCCCTGGTTAAACATTAATATCCCTTTCACTCCCAGAAGTGATAAACATGTAACTTCTCCCTATAGTGTTGATACATTATCCAGTGAACAGGTAATGAGATTACTCAAACTTATCAGGTACAAGATATTATCTTGATTGAACACCAAATTCTCATAACCAGTTTACAAGGAAGTGTGTAGTAGCAAGAGAAGAGAATTATCAATCAGATCTTGGGGGATATTCATGAAATAACTAAATTATGAACTTTATAAACAGCTGACACAAATCATCTACTTCACCATTTTCATCATGTACAGAAACATTTTTTCATTGTTGCTTTAGGGCTTTTGTTCCTCTCAACATTTCTTGTTTTTGACATTTGACTCAGAGATGAGATCCTGTTTTAATAACAAATTCAGGTGTTCAGGAGCAAAGAACAAATGTTACATTATTTTAAAACTAAATGTCTGAACAACTTACTTGTAATTTTTTGATGATCATGCCAATTCAATTGTAAAATGAATGCTTATTCTATTTCATTAAATAGATTTTGTGTTGTTGTGTGTCTGTTTAGGTATAGATCATAGTTCATGTTAAAATGTGCAAAGAACAAAAAAGTGGCACATGAAGTGCAGTCTAGTGTGCCACAGATGTACTTACCACATTTTGATGTAAGAATCCATCAAAATGTGCATATAATTCAGTTTATTGGATAAATAATGATAATTGATCCATATGTGTTTTACTTCCTTGCAGCTGAGTTGCAGAATATTCTGAATTCTGGTTAAGTTCTATTCCAACAGCTGCAAGTGTTCTGGTACTTGACTGACTGAACAGCCACAACTTACAGTAATTTTCTCAGAGAGCAGTTATTTCTCCAACAGCTGGTTGAATTTTTTGCTGTCCACCAGATTAATCACTACCCAGTAGATTGTTGTGAACACAATCTGCCACCAGATCTACTGGGTCAGTGGTTTATCTGGTGGATGGTATTGTTGATTCAATCCAGCAACAGCAAGTACCTGAGAGTTTAATTCAACTACTGCTACCATCTCACAGGAGAAGCAACTTGAGAAGTGAGTGTTTATCTTGTATGTATAATTGACATCTAGATATAAATAGAGCTTCAGTAGTCTGCAACAGAGTGCATCAACTGATAACCACAACTACTTGATTTGAGCTCCATTACACAGTACATGTACATGTGTAAGGATACATTGTACACCAGTATGATGGTTAACATTCTCAACTTTTTTAATGATAACATCATATTCAATTTTATATGTAAACAAGAATTAGCATGACACAGCATAGTAAGGTAAGAATGTTCAGGAATATAAGTACATCACAGACAATTTACAGACTCAAAACAAAACTAAGCTTACATGTACTTGGATTTTGTTCCACTTATTTTGAGGTGGCCAGCTAAAGAGTTGCCAGTAATCAGATAGTTGTGTTTGCACAAAGATATCTGGAATTGCCACAGGGCAAACAAGAAATAAGTGATGAGGAACATGGGGATTAATCCCTAGGTCAAGTGATAGATTGTTTGATAAAACTTGAAAGGTTTTTGAGCAGCCACTCAACTCCTTCTCCTCCAGTTGTGCATCAATACTTAAGCAACCAATTTGTTGCAGATGAAATGGTTCAGATTTAAACTAATTTCAATGCTAATCATTCTCATCAATCATAACAAATAAGCAATGTAGGTGTTTTATTACTTTAATATATCATGATCTATATTATTATGCTCAAGCAAACCATTTCAATCTCCTGCTGACTTGATTGAGGTCGCTGTTTTTGTAGCACTCTTTTTGTTACTTGAACCCATTAAGTGATGTGAATTTCACACTAAACCTTACACATACATGCATGGAGCAAAGTTTACTGGTGGGTTCCAATATAGCTTGGATGTTTTCTAGGCTTGATCTGTTTTTAATGCTTTTTGTAATCTTCCATAATTAGTCAGTTGAGCTACAATCTGTTTGCATAGTTTTGCTGGCCACTCACAGTTCTCACCTTCCCCTAGCTGATGCTCCACCAGGTATTTGGTATGATCACTGTCTACTTCTGAGTACATGAGATATAAATAGCTCATCATCTGATTTGGAGTCATCAACTTGATTGAAAGTCCTGGCAGATTTCTTTGACATAGTTCCTTGTTAAAAATTTCCCTTGTGATCTTATCTCCTCCATTATTGACAAGGGATGTGTATATTGTAACAAATAATTCTTTTTGTGACACTTGCTACATTTTTTCCAGAGGCAGGAAATTAATGTGCATTGTTTCATGGGATTTCCACAGTCTCAGCATTGGTACCTTTTGCATGGCGTCAGATTCCTTTTTTCCATTCTGGACTGTACTTAAGGTGTTTCTACAGTTCCCTATGTTCTTCATCTCAATGGTGTATATTTTTCCAGCTCTGGTTCTATCAGGTGCCTCATCAAGTGTTAATGCTTTGATTCACTTCCTAACTTCACAGCTCTTTGTTCCTGTTACCAATATGCAGAAGATCAGTTCATTGTTTAATACACATTAAGCAACCAGATGCCAATTTTTGTTGCCTGTTTTTGGTGTCAATTTTCCCATCTTCACAGTTGACACCATTAAATTAAAAGCAGTGCTCAACAAAGGAAACTGTTGGGTTCTATGTGATCACCAACTAGTAAATTTTTAGCTTTTTGGTAGGTTTCCTTTCTCACAGCACTGTTCTGAGAATTATTTGTTAAACTTTTTTTCAAGTTCTCTCTTTCAAAAAGGTCCAATCCTCCACCTGATTACCTTTCAGACCGATTGGAACAGGTGTAATGACTTGCTGACTATAGACCATCATATGCATAGGCTGTGGGAATGGTTCTACACACACTATACTGTTTACTTTTCATTAACCAAAACTAAATTAGTATGAGTGGTTAATTAAAGACCATGTAGAATAAAAATTAGCATGACTAGGCTTAATATAAAGTTAACAAGCAAATGAGCAAGCACTCTAGAACTTTACATGTAACACTTTCCTAACAAATTAAATCATTTTAACTTGAATGAACCATCCAAACACATTAAAAATTATCACCTAGTGCTTTGATAAGAATATATTGTTTCAAAAAGTGTGAAACATATAACTGACTACCTTTAAGAAAAGGATCTTAAACTAAAAAATAAATTTTATGTAACCTCTGCACGTAGGCTTGAGACAAGACCTTAGCTTGATATTCTCTATCATATATTTTGATCTGAGTACTGTATAAGCTTAGTTATACAAACTGGAGATGTGTTCAGTTTTCTTTGATGTTTGCCACCAGATGTGATTATTCATATCTTCAAGGGATTTCACATTTATATGGTACAAGGTCATATAAAAACACAAATCTATATTTTTATTTTGGCTTTGACACTCACTGTGATTGATTTTGTATTTTTCAGTTATTATAACTAATGATTTTAAAATGATTGTCTTGTAGAGTTCTGCAGTGAAGCAGATTGTCTTTAATAAAATTCTGTTCTTAAATACATTAAACATTGTTTAAATGGGCAGGACAGGAGGCTAGTTATTGTGTCCAGGCTTAAATATGGTGAATTCTTTCGAATTAGACTCTGTTTTTAAATGTTTTTGTATTGCTTTTATTTTCAGAAGTGGATTGGCAATGTCAGAAACTGTGAGAACTGACCAGAGCAGTTCAAAGAACATTTATAGTGACCCACCAAAGATCAATATTTGTCTTCCAGATATAAGTGAACTAACCCAGAATTTTAAACACTGGAAGGATGTTCAACTCCCAATTGACATTTTGTTGTTAACAGTGAAGGACTCTGAGTTCTTAAGTTGCTACTATTACATTAATGATCCATTTAGAAGCTATTTTAAAGGGCTTGGTCCTGTATACTTTGGAAGCATTGGTGAAGATCAAGATGTTATACTGAATGTTGCTTTGATGAAATGCTCAGAGGGTTCTAAAGTCCCTGGTGGTGCTTTGACTGTTGTAAAAAATGCTGTCACTCAGCTGAGGCCAAAAGTAGTCTTTACTGTGGGACACTGTAGTGGTGTGAATCAGGAATCAACAAAACTGGGGGATGTTGTTGTATCAGAAAAGCTCACCACCTATTCCTATCAGAAAATAACAAAGGATGGAAATAAATTTTATGGGTGCACAACTCCCGTAAGCAGAGACATTGCTGCTCTCATTCGATATGCAGCTTATGGTTGGAATCCACCCCTAGAAAATCTTAAAGAAAGGAGAGTTGAAGTCCACTGTGGTGAGGTTTTGAGTGGTTGTGAGCTCATACAAGCTGAGTGGCGACGAGATGAACTAGTGAAGTCATTTCCTTCAGGAATTGCAATTGAGACAGAAGGAGAGGGTAAGACCTCTTTTTCCTTTGAAGTAACTGTTACTGTAAAATCTACTCAAAGAGATATTTGGATATATTTGTATCCTGGGAGAGAAAATTGATACTTATATGATATCAGTTGTGGTGGGTAAGTTTTCCTTCCAGTGTCGAGAGATGCACTGGCTTGTGTGTTAACATACTGAACTTCTGATCAAGAGGTCTGAGTTTAAGCCCTGGGCTAAAGTGATTGTGTTGTAGTCTTGGCTGGGACGCTTTACTCTCACAGTGTGTCTCCACACCCAGGAGTATAGATAGCTACTGATGAACTGACCAGTATTTCATATACATCTGAAGGGAGTAAGAGTACAGTCTTAGTGGCTGAATGGTATGGTACCTAGTAGAAGCTCGTGCTACAGGGATGAGCTCAGCACTGAGTATATGTAAGGTGACTTTCCAAAGTACATGTATATCTCTTTACTTACAAATCTTTGATAACAATAGTAATAATGGGAGACGTTAAAATCAATAGATGTTGGAGAAAATTTGTTTTTTTATTCATAAAAGCTTATTTTTGTCTCAGGAGTTTTCAGTGCAGCACATGATCTGAAAACGGAGTGGGTTGTCATCAAGGGTATTTCAGGGTATGCAGATGGAACTGAAGAGAGAGAAAACTGGCAAACATTTGCAAGTGTAATGGCAGCTTCTCTTGTTGCCAACATTCTAAAGGAATGCAGTATTTTTGAAGATTGGCCACATTACAAAGGTGACCTGTTCAATTTTTGTCATTTTTAGTCCCACAGTATATTTGCTTGCAGTCACTCGCTGGTCTTGTATACTGTTTAGTTTTGTGTTTTATAAATGTGTTGGAACCAAATTACCAAAACCGAATTAAAAACATGATTTATGGTCTATGATCATGCGCTGACCAATCAGAACAGTTCTTGGATCAGAAATGTTACATGTTTGTCAGCAATTTCGCAGGCTCTTCTTATGGATTGTTGCGCTGGGCCAACCAAAGGTGAGAAATTGAAAAGAATGACATTGACCTCAACTCAACATACAGGGGCGCTAATTTCTTTCTACAAAGATTGATTGTGAGATGCTTTCAAGCTTTTAATAGCATTTTTCCCCCTCAAAAGAAGACCTCCGTTCCCCCCCTCCCCCCATAATACACCTGGAAACTTATGCCTTAACCCCCCCCCTTCTCTCCCCTCCAGCCCAACCTCCGTTTTATAAACCACACACGACCCACATTCCCCTAATCGCTCCAACAAAGGGCTTAACGCACGAAACATCAGCTTTAGAAACTCTTTATGGGGGCCAATTTACTTTATCAACTCAGTTAATGAAACCAAATTATCATTGCTTGACTGAACAACAGTAAATTCTTGTCGTTGGGTAATCACGTGAGCCACCATCGTTGTCTACAAATTCCCAGGATGTCTATTGAGAATTCTAGGTGCCAGTCTTTTTAACCCAATTATAGCATGGTACCTCTTCTAAGGACTGCAGTTAAATGCTGAATTTTGAGGCAGATGAAGGAAAGATCACACGCGTCTTAAATTCCTCACGTAGATTTGCATTTTAAGAAATCTTACGCCCACATTCGTTAGAGCAGAGAGCTTTGCAAGCAAGGTTAGGATGCAGTATTCGAATCCTGGTAGTTTGAACTACATGTAGCCGCGTGTCTGTCTCAAACTTCATAAGGCTGTCTAACCGCTGTCTGTTTGGTTTTGTGTTCTTGAAGATATTTCAACTGATAGACAACATTCACCACTGAGTAAAGGGATTCCGGTAGAGCCATCCTACCCTAGTGCCCAGTCTTCCGAACAGCAAGATGTTTCGTTGACCAAAACAGCAGGTATTTGAATGAACAGATGTTGTGAGAAACTGTTTCTTTTATTCTTATTACTGTGCAACTCACCATAGAGTTCTCTCTTGCTTATTGGGGGAGCTTCGTAGCGCAGAATCCGAAGGTCTGGGGCTCGATTCTGCATACTGACTCATAACATCTTCCTTTAAACTAAACTAATTGGCATTGCTGTTTGTGGTTTAGCTTTTTCTGGTCTGCTGAATAAGTATTTTTCTTTGAAACTTTATGGCTTTCCGTAGAAATTTCCTTTGTTCAAGGTTTTCTTAGTCTTACAGTATTACGTTTTTCCGGCGAGATTTCTTTGACGTACAAATAATTGCCTGCAGTTGTTGAATTAGTAAGGAACTGATCAAATGCTCGCCTCGCTGTCTCCCGTGTTAAATTACTTTTCTTATGTTTTTAAGGTGGAAAAAGGAAGTCGTCAAACAAGTTTCCGGACCAGGGCATAAAGCGCTCAAAGCTTGAAGGTATTTGTCTTCTTCAGAATCTGAATTGTGATTCTGACTTTTTGACTGGAGGATTCCAAGTGTTACATAGTTTCTTTAAGATTTGAGTTTTTCCCTACTGTTTCGCTTAACAGAGAAATAGTTTCACTTGTCTCAGAACAAAACAATATTTTTCTTATTAGGATTTTGTGTAGCGGAACGAACCATAGCCACGATTACCAGCCGCTGTTCGTGAAACGAGCTCACGCTTTTTCCCTTTACGGGAGAATCGAAGACCGCACTCGAGAATTAGGCGCAAATCAAACCCCCTTCCCCAACAAAACACCGTAGTGACCAGATCAAGTGTGAAAATGTGAAAATTTACCCTCGAAGTCAATGAGTGACGTTATTAAAGTTACAAATTACAGATGGAAGGAAATATTCTTCCCACTGTTTAAAAACCCCACTCGAGTAATTTTCTTTTCGATGTGTGGGAGTTTTTTACCAAGCTATTTGTTTTGTCTACAGACTCGTCTGTAACAGAATTTTTGGAATGGTGCCAGAATCAGTTGAGGGCGTTTTACAACACCATGTGTCAAGTGAAAATAACACCATGGGACCCAAACAACACAGTACACATTAACGACATTTACATACAGGTAACGTTTTTACAAGACCACAGAAAACCTGACGGAACAACGAAAAAAAAGCTGGGAGACAGCAGTGAAGTATTCAAAGGCGACGAACATCATCCCATCCGTAGACGAATTCTGGTATATGGAAGACCTGGAATAGGAAAGTCTACTTTCACTCAAAAAGTAGCTGTGGATTGGGCAAATGGCAAAAAGAAGATCCTCAAAAAGTTCACTCTTTTACTGTTAATCAGGTTACGAGACGTTTGTGGTATTTCGGACCTCTGTAACATGTTAAAAACAGCGGAACTGTTGTCTGCTGATGACCCGATGGCAGTCAATAACTTGTATGAATATGTCCGTCAGAACCAGGAGAAAGTGCTGCTCATTTTGGATGGATATGATGAGTACAGCGGTGGAAAATCATCCCTAATTCATCAGATTTGGAGAGGCAGTCAACTGAGAGACTGTTGTGTAATGATCACAACGCGGCGATTGAAGGAGGATGAACTAAGAGTGCCAAGTAATGTTCAGTTTGAACTTAACGGGTTCGATAGCCGGGAACAGAAGGAACAGTTTGCTAGTAAGATTCTTCCTGATGAGGAAGATGTTGAAGGGCTACTTGAATACTTGGAGGAGCATGACCTCGAGGAGATGGCAGAGATTCCGCTATTGTTGTTGATGTTGTGTCTTCTCTGGAAAGAGAAAAAGCATCAATCACCAACATCTCGTGCGGAAATTTACGTAGGATTTATTCAGACTCTCTTGAATCATATGGCTACTAAAGACTCGGACGACGTCGCAACAGATGAAAGCATAGATAAATATCAAGAGGAACTTTCCAAAATAGGAAAACTTGCCTTTGATGCTCTTTTGGAGGACTGCCTTCATTTTGACTTCACCAAATTTCCGCATGGTGATCTCTTCGAGAGGCTTATTCATGTCGGTTTTTTCCAAGTTTCCAAACTTTCTGCTTGGAACCGTGAGAAGATCGTGTATTTTCTTCACAAGTCCGTTCAGGAGTTTCTCGCCGCCTGGTTCATCGCTCAAGAACTGAAGGTTAAGAAGAATGAAACCGTCACCTTCTTGTCGGGAATGGATACGTTTGAAAAATCAAGGAAGATGGCTGAAGTTCTAAGATTCGTTTGTGAGTTGTCATCAGATGCTGTCGGCATTGTTTTTGATCATCTACATTATATCGCAGAGAAAGAAGGTCTCAGAAATTACAATTTCACTAGGACGCCTTCATACGAAGATTTGTCTGATGAACAATTCGCCTTTATTGAACTCTGTGTCGATTGTTTGTTCTGTTGTCCGGCCTCAAACAGACCAGCTGTGTATTCTGCATTTCTCTCACGTGTTAACCATGTTGTAATACTTGATAAGAAACACTCGTCTATTGCTGCCAAAACGCACTTCTTCAATAACACCGACAGCTTTCCAAACTATTTATTTTACTCAGGTTGGAACACTAATGATGATGATCTGCTGTCCATATGGTTTGACTTGAACGCGGTCGTTTTAACGTGCTCTGGAGAAATTGAAGATGTAAAAAAATACGCCGATTTACACGATGCGGACTTTTTCCTCAAAAAAAGCGAAAAGAGAAACTTTATCTATCTTCGTCGCATAACAGATGCTGTATTTCACTCTAAACTGCTTTCTGAATTGATCTCAGCGCCGGTTTGTTCTTCTCAGCCACCTGTGGATAATCTGGGAAAGAATGAAGACAACAACATTGCGCTTTCTTTGACTGAGAGCAGATCTGATCAGACACGACAACATTGTGTGTCACTGGTGAAAGATGTTGATTTATTCCTTGAAACAGTTGAGGATTTTGTTCTGTTGAAGAACTTGTTGCCTTTATTAACAGCTCCTCGAAATATTAGAATATGGTGGATCAAGAAATATGCCTTGGAAGATATTTCGATTGAGAGCGCGATTTACGGAATTAATTTTACTGACAATCTCCACAAATTAGAACTTTCCCATCTCGATCTAACAGGAAAGTGTGCTGCTTTTATTGCTGAGTCACTGCACCACTCTCCAAACTTGCATGAGCTCTGCTTGTCATGGAACCCCTTACACAGCGGTGTGAGTCATTTGGCTGAGAATCTTCATCACGTGCCACAGTTGACTAAGTTAGAGTTAGCTGAAGTACAAATGGGAGAAAAGGAATGTGCTGCACTGGCTGCCTCATTACAGTACTTAAAGAAGTTAGAAGAACTGGATATGTCAGGCAATGCACTGGGTCACGGGATTATTGAACTGGCCAAGAACCTGAACAGTGTACCTACTCTGACCAAACTGGACCTGGAGAACACAAATATGGGTGAAGATGAAGCATCAGCACTGGCTCGTGCACTGAAGGATGCACCAGAGCTGAGACATCTTAGGTTAATGTCCAATCCACTTGGCAGAGGAGTCAGGGACCTGGTCCAGCACCTCAGCAGCGTTCCTAAACTGAAGTCCCTGGATCTGGATGGTGTTCCGATGACAAAGACAGAGCTTAAAATGCTGTTTTCAGCCTTAAATGGAAGAGAAATTACATTGTATACCGATTACTATGTAAGTGTCTCGTTCTTGTTTCACTTAGTCGTATCTAATTTTTATTTTGGTTCTCTTCAGATTACACTTGTTATTGTTTCCAGCAAGTTGCTTTGGAGACAATTTATTGGAGTAGTCTGCATGGGAAAGAATGTAGACATCAGGAACAGTCACTGTTTTCGACATTTACTATTTCTATGTTGTGACAACAGGAGCCATTGTTGGGGATGGCGGAGACCGTAAACAGCCCATGTTAAGTACTTTAATGGTTCATGTAATGCTTCTTTGACTATGGTTTCCAGAAAAATATGTTTAAGATTAAATTAAGACAGAAACAAATTTAGCTTTGAAAACTTTGATATTATTTATTTACAGACAGTAGTTTCCAGTATAGTGGATGCTTGATTACTGAAACTTCATTGAAAACTTTGGGAGTTCGATTCCTTCGAGTTCATTCGATTGGCCCTTCGGTTTTGGCGAAATCTTGTAGAGAAATCTTTTGTAGCTATGTCTTACATAAGAGAGAGAAAAAAAGATGAATTGTGAGAATTTTTCTCGGACCAAACTTCTTTGCGCAATGTTAATTTTTGAAATTTTTTGGCTTGTGTTGTTATTATGGGATGCTTTCTTTTGGGTTTGATTATGTGACGTGAAATTACTGTTAACCTATACATGCTTTGGATTCGATGACGTTGTTCCCTACAATCTGTACCAGTATCTATTCGCTTTTATTAACAGGAAGCGTTAACCCAACAAAATAGAAAGAACCAAACAAAAAAGGTTTTTTCTTGTGTTAAACCCAAATGCGTGTTTTGAAAAGCGAAAATCATGTTGATTCTATTGTCATAAATTTACGTTTTAAAGGTTTGTACTGATGATAGGAAATAATTCACCAAAAGTTGTAGGTTAAAATATTAACATCCAAAAAGAAACTGACACGGTGCTATAATTTACTTGCACTTAAATGGTTTCATTCTTCTTATTTATCAGTTGGTTTCTTTTTGTCTTTAGCTGCACTGCCCATGTTGAGTAACTCCGTCAGATGCTCGTAGGGCCTTCGGTCGCCTTTGTCATAGAAGCCTATTTTTTTTTCTTTTAAGAAAAATTAAAGAAAAACATTGTAAATAGCGAATTTGTTAAAATGACTATTTCAAACCTTACACTCTAAAACCTTTTTGGTGTGTTAAACGAAAATATAACATAGAATAAAGAGCAAAGTACTCCGGGGTTGGTAATAAGGCAAAAAGAGATAATAGCGAGAAGGAATTGGAAAAGAAGACAGGCGGGCACAAAATTCAATGGATAAATATATATATAGATATATTGTTTTTTTTTTTGGAGGGGGAGGGGGGGGGGGGGGAAAGGAGGAAAAAAATCAAGAAAGTGTTTCACATGGGTCACCTCTGATAAGCGCTTGGGCTCGATGTTCCCATTCTGTATCCAAAATAAGAGCAGTATTACCACGTCCTAAACAAAATAAAGCGCCTGCACTAGACGTGAGAAGAAGCCTTTTCGAGGCGAAGTTTCCATTAACATCTCATTCAGCTGAAAGATCTAGGAAAGACGTTATGTTATGGAACCTGTGCAATTAGCGCTTGAAGAATAAAGCATTACTGTGCGTCAGGCGTAAGCGCCCTGCTAGAAAACAAACGAAAAATCAAAAGAAATCATTTAAAAGCTTAAACTTCATAGGCGCAACCCGTGACACTTGGCTACTAGTCAAACTCGGCACTGCGCTATAATTTACTCGCTTTTAAATGGTTTCCTTATTCTTATTTATCAGTTGGATTCTTTTTTAAGTGTCTCGTATATGATTCAAACGGTTTTGTCAGAAAAGTACGGTTACATTGAGAGGAAAGTTCTTTACTTTTGGGAAAGTCAAGGATAACATTACATCGAGGACTCCGGGTCATCAAAAAGAAATATTTAGGGTTGTCTGTCTTTCAATCGTGCAACAATTATGTTGGTGGAGAGGTGAACTGGAGTAAAACCCGTTGCGTGTAGTCCTGTAGGGTTGGAAAATTGTTAAATCGTTGATTTATTCTCGGGCAGACAATAGCTTAGCTAATACTTTGTGTGTGGAAAATAAAATAATTTCGAAGATATTAGACAGTTTTCCTCCCTCTAAAAAAGTTAGTATTTATTGTAATTTATGTGTTTGTTTGTCAACCTTCACCTCATCTTAAATCGTCAGGGAGCATTGTTTTTTGTTATTTGTAAATGAGATCGTTTTCCTTGTTGTAAAATGGTTTTAGTTACTTGTAGCTATTTGAATTCAAAAGTGAATGTCCTCTTTCACTGCTCGCTATAAGGACAAATATCTTTGATTGCGTGAAATATTTATCTTGTGTGTTAAAATGTAAGTTGAGTGTTACATAGAAGTTAATGAAACAGGTGTATTTTGCCATAGCGAAGGAAACGTAATACTCCGATATACGTGGGGAGAATCAAGATCCTTTAGATATTTATCTGGTGTGAAAATGCCAGTTGAGAGTTTCACATAATTGGTGCTGTGGTTGATGTTGCGTCCTTTTTTTGTCCTGTGATAGGAAAATGAAATAGGAGATGAAGGGGATATCCATCGACTTCTTACAAAAGCTGAGCTGAAAAAAAACGGAACAAGGTTCAGAAAAGAGCCAGATGATGATGATGGTGATGACGATGACGACGACGACGAAGACGACGGCGATGATGATGACGACGATGATGATGACGAGAGTGAGGATGATGACCATGACGATGACGAAGATGAAGACAGTGAGCATCTCGATGAAGATGGCGATGATGAAGATAGTGACGATCTCGATGATGATGATGAAAATGAGTAAGCGCTCTGAAAAAAGGTTTCTGTGGCAACTGATTTAGCGAGCAGTAAGAAGACTGATATTTCAGAATATAATCCATCAAATATTTTTGCTTGCGCGCGGGATTGGTCTAAATGCTTCACGTGACCGAATATAAACCAGCTAAAACTAGAGAATATCCGTGAATACACTCCCAAGTGACATTCCCCGATTTTCAAACCTTAACGTCCACAACAATAGAAGTCTTCGTTTCCAATTTAATTCAAGATTAGAGAGCGTTTTGTGGTTGTTACAGAAGGAAGGACATGTTTTTGTGTTCATACAGCTGTACCAGCGAACACTGAAAAGTGAACATCCTTCGTAATGAACGTTGAACTGTTCGTAAACACTTTCCCCGCGTGTTGCAAAAATAATTGAAGAAAGATGAACACAATAGCCTCTATTTTGCGCAAAACTATTCTCGTATATTTGTCCTTAAACATTATCGGTTGCTCTAAGCTCTCACTTTTCCTCGGACTTCACTCAGAAACTTTTCGCATCTCGGAACAGATAATGTCCGAACAGCAAAAAAAAAACCAAAAACCATCGTGCATGTATTTGCGCCAAATAAAGACTATTGCTTATTTAGAATTTCGGAAATTGCTGGACGTGTTTCCCGTCTCTTACGGTGTTATATCTTTATGTCAGTATAAAGTATAGGAGTGGCGTCCAGTTCGAATTGGAAACTTAGATAATTTGCCGACAGTATTTCCCTTCTGATCACAGATCACACAAATTTTCGTGATTTCACGTTGTTGTTTTACAGTGGACGGCTGAGAGATGAACAGAGTTTTAAAACGCACGCGCTTAGCGACTGTTCTGCTCATTATTTAGATGTTTTGTTTTGCCACATCCTCGTTGCCGTTGTCGTGGTTTCCTGAAGTTCCCTAATTTTTAGTCCCGCGTGAAACGTCTTATATTGTAACTGGAAATGCAAGTTCTTTTCAGCAATAAAGTACCGAGTTGTTACTCAGGTTTTTTGCCGATCAGAACGCTAAACGAATTTCTTAGGATATCAGAGTGAAATAGTTTGGCATAGATCCAAAAGTGACTTTTTGACGCGAAGAAAGAAAGGCCCCTCTATTTTTTATGGATACGGCCAAAAAAGGGGTGAGCTGAGACATTGGAGGTCTCGGTAAGAGTGAGAGGAGCTTCCTTTCCTTCCCAAACCCCAATTTTCACTCTTCCAATAATTCGATCTTTTCCAGCGACTGAGACCTTGGCAGAAGACAAGCTCAATTTTTTCAAGTTAATTAATTCAAATTACTCAACTCAATTAATTCAAACTTATTAATTCAATTAATACTATTGATTCTAATTAGCTGACAAGCTCATTTTGTCCTTGCAAAAAAAGCCGACTTTAAGAAAAGGAACGGATGAATGATTCCTTGAGTTTGGATCAGTTCACAGGCAGCGTTGTGCTTTCAAGTAGGCTTATTTTTTGATGCTTTACATTGATGATGCTTGAAACTGGAGATGTGTGGAAAATCTTTCATGATCAGAAAAGGTTAAGTCGATAATTGGTGTTACAAGCTTAAATGCTTGTTCGTCTCACTTGTCACTGTAAATAGCAGTTTAGTTCGTCAATTTTTACCCAACGTTGTGACTTTTTTTACCCTCACGTTTATTGATTTATTAAAAGAATTTTTATGAAATATCTTTGTCTCTTTGTAATTAAAGTACAGATAGTATAGGTGCTTGAAAAAGACCCTGTATACGACCTGTATCCTTGTTGCTTGGGCCCCAAAGCACAGTCATTTAAATAGTTTTTTCAAAGCTGAACGCACCACGCACAGAACGATATTTTTGCGCAGACTTTTTATTAAAAGACTAGTATGTAGTCTTTAGTTCGATATAGGCAGCCCCTGGATGAGAGGAAAAACTGGTAAATTTTCATGGTTTTGATTTGCTTTTTCTCTTTTTTTTTTGAAAATTTATCTTAGAATCTGTCGGCATGACTTGTGTAACAATAACGGCTTTCGTGTCCCACCGACCGACCGTTTTCAATATTGTTTTTGATTTTTTGTTTGCATGATTGTTTTTTTTTCCTATAACCACTTGTTTATTTCCACAAGCCGCCCGTCGTTCCTTAAGTTGTTCTACGCTGTGTCACTCGATCAGCAGGCATTAAAAGCTTGGCATCTAAGCATCCTCTTCTTTTTACTGTTGTGATTTAATTCTTTCTAATGTTAAACCTGGCGACGAGAAAAACTCAAAAGGGGGAAAAAGGCCGAAATCATTGCAAGCAATCTCCTTTTTTGTCGTTTACCCCCTTCCTCCCCCTCTTCTCTTTCGCAAGAGCACACTAAAACAAGCTTGATATCCCAACCTTTATCATATTTCTCGTACACAGAACCTACGATGGTTAACTTTCAGGCTTAACTCCTCAAAAAGGGGATTTTGTGTGCGCCAGCTATTAAATAATCAGAAGACTCGATTGGTTTCTTTTTTCAAGTTCTTTTATTTCAGATCACATTCAAGTTGTTTTGCAGCCTAATTGGTATCACGGACAACACACAATTTTCACTTTATATATAAAATTAACATCATATCCATCGGCAGAAAACGTGTTACATAACTTTAAGGTGGTTAACTCGTTGCAAATTATGGTTAACTGGAAGCTGATACAATGCAACCGGTTAAAAATTGGACCAGTGTTCATGATAAGGGATAACTTTAGAGGCTTTACATAACGCTACACTTTGATAAGGTGCTAGCGACCCCGCCCAAGACTGGTATCATTTGCAGCGCTCTATCAAAGAATCCCGGCTTTTGAACTTACTGTTGTCGGCTCTGATTGAGTAGCAGCTGTTGTCTCAAGCTCTCCACTGTCTTCTCCATGCCTTCATTTGATTTTTGCATTTGTGCAAGTCGTTGACTGAGTATCTGGCTTTATTGCATGAAATTTCGTCGGTGTTTTTTAACTTCCATCATTCTCGCCTTTACCATGTTCTCCATTTGTTGTCGTTGGACCGCTGCTTCAGCTTCCATCTGTTCACGGAGTCTCTTTTTTTCTTCCTCCTGTTTTGCCTGCAGCATTTCCATCTAATTACCAAACAGGAAAAAGTTCAGGTAAGACAGCTTTAGGAGAGTCATGATGAAAAATACTATGGCATCTACTCTTGTTCACCTCTGTGCTAAAATCATCAAATTTCTCAGTCACTCAGAATGAATTTCTGATAAAAATACTGTACAATCTTTCACAAAAAACACCCAATGGGATATATTCTTGCTAGCGTGATTTAAACTAAAGATATATTTTAAGGCATTTGAAGGTGAAAGTTATTATGAGGCAATATTCCTATAACAAAGAAATTAAGGAATAATGAATCTAATTTGACACATCACAAAATTACATTGGAATGGAACCAAGAGAAAATAAGCAGGCAGAGAGGGCGGCCCCTGCACCAGAACTCGTTCAGACAAGATGTCAGCCTTTTTTTTTGTTTTATTTCACCTGCCCTGGTACCAAATCGGATATTACTCAAAAAACCTAGTTCCCAGGAATGAGTGTGCTCCCGCTTAATTAAAATGCTTACTTTTCTGCGTATTTAATTGGATTTCACTGTGTTTAATCGCCGTAGAATTCGTGTGTCTGCGCTTTCTGAATCAAAGATGTGCATGTTTAGCGCTTCTGTCTGAGAAGGCAAAACTCACAAAAAGCAGTCAATGGTCCTCTTTGTTCTTTTATTCTCTTTTTGTGATCTGGACAAATGGAAATCGTCAAATGATAGATTTGACGATGGTAGATTATTTTTGAAGCGTATAGGGATTTCTTAAGTGATTTTGAAAATGTCGGATCAATGTCAGAATCTGATCAACTGCTCACCTACCCCTCCCCTGACCCAACATTAGCCCTAACTTGTTATTTTTTTTTATTGTTGTTGAGTTAGGGGAGGGGTAGGTGTGCAGTTTCTCAGATACTGACATTGACTCAAAATGTCTTACTTCCTTATGGCGCTGACGATTTTCTTGTTGCAAACGTTCGTGTTCCTCCTTAAGAAAGAACGAAATTTAACGTCAGTTTAAGCTTTGTCCAGCAGATGACGAAATTTTATTGCGTGTAAAAAAAATTTCCCTCTCACCAAGAATGAATCACATCCTCGCCATTACATCTGAATTAATCCAGCAATGTTTTTGACAAAGAACAGAAAAAGAAAGCATGAACTTCAATCAGCTTTTGTTCTCTTAATATGAAGTTGATTGAGTTTGAGAAAAAAAGTTGTAATTATTCCATAGATTTTTTTCCGTTCCCTCGAAGAACGGAGCAGAACTTCAAGAAATAAATTTCCATTTCATTTCCCATTCCCTATTTCTTATTCTCCTTCCCTATTCTAAATTCCTTTTTCTCCATTCTTCATCTCCTATTCTCCGTTCCCCATTCATCATTCGAAATTTTTTCCCTTAAAAAGAAATATGATCGATAAGTCGATTAAAATTGCATCATCAGTACCTCAAGTTTTATCTTCTCTTGCTCTTGATAGGCTTTGGCGGCAATTTCTCGACTCAAGTTCTCGTCAAAGTCCTTTAATTGTTTCAGCACGCCCAAGTATTGTTGCATTTCTGTCATAAGTTCCTGTGATAAAAGTAGAACTTTCGCTTACATCGTTGCTTTGTCTGTTGGTTTTATTTGTGGTAACTACCAAGAGATTATAAAGTTATATTCTCTTGTAACTACATAATAGTTACTAAGACCAAGAATCGCAATGTTCTTGTATTAAAGGAACTGAATTCGGTTGGTATTTTCTTTTTGTCCGTGAAACTATTAATGTCATGGAAAAAAAAGGAAGGCACAGATTAGAAACCTTTTAACTCATTAATTTGTCTCATTTTTGGTCTGAATTTTTAATTTTGATGGTCCTTCTTGATCAGTCAGTAAAGTTAGGTCGTTCTGTTCGGTTCGTTTCTAATGTTAATGTCGTGAATGAGTCGTTTGTATGGTGCCGGTAGTGGTTGACACCTGTTGAAGGGAGTCTGTTCTAAGTTAGTAAGCCAGCTTTTCAGAGTAAGTCGTTGAAAGTAGTTGGTGCTGTAGGTTTGGCATATAAATTTCGCAGCGCCCCAGTCAGAAGCGTGGTTCGTAAGTCGGTATTGTTCATCAATGTGATTGTTAACATGTGACTGATAATGTTTACCCTAACAACATCAACAGCGACGATGGAATAGAAATTTCTGAAGCGTGGATGCCCTCGATCAAAAAACACAACAACAGGAGAGCCGTAAGAAAGCGGACCGCCGTGGGAATAATGCACGAACATCGAGGATCGAAACGCGCTAATCATAGCTGTGAAAAAAAAATAAACCAATCACAGCGGAGCATCCTGCTTATTAAGAAGACCCGAAACAAGTCGACCTTATCGCCTGATGAAGACTAGCAGCATGCATTCGTGATTCACATTATAAGTGACCACATCGTGGGACAAACGATAATACATTATTATTATTGTACTTTACCACGATGAACAAGCACAACCTTTATGTCATTTGTGTAACCTAACCTAACCTTGTTGTTATTTTGCCGGCACGCAACGGTGAACTGGGTTCTAATGTAGCGCGCGTGGGACCGCGGCTAGGGGGTTTGAAATAGTGACCGGTTAGTTATGCGTGTCATTCTATCGTCAGCCTCGCCGCGTCATCTTGCTTGGTTTAGTTCTCTCTGTTTTTTCCTTCGCCGTGGCTATGGATGAAGCTAAAGTTTCCAGCGTGATTACGAACAGCAACAAAGAGCTCCTCTATCAATTTTTTTTGGTTTACGGGTTTGTTTTTTCCTTACCGTCTTTATGACGCCCTAGATGGGTTCAATGTTTATACCCTTGGTGGGTTCATTCTTGTGCCCCTGATGGGCAGAATAAAGATTTGGATTTCAGGTTGATAGTATTACGAAGCTGTCTTTAGATTATTTAAATGTTCTGGCTGATTATTGACCTTGGATGGGTTCCATATGTCTATGCCGTGGACGCTGTCATTGACGTGCCCCGGATGGACTCTATTACCCTAGTTTTATACCCCTGATGGGCTCAACGTTTCCCTTGCAGTTTGGTTTTTTCTGCGTCATACCCTGGACGGGTATTGACCTCTTTTGTTATCCCCTGGGGGTCCCGTATATGGGTTAGCTCAACAGTGTTCTTACTTTATTGTTTAAGATATCTTCTCCTCTGGATTTTGGTCTTCTGAAAGCTCCGACGACTGTCAGGTCAACCAGCCGAGGCGAAAGCTCAAGCTTACGGTGCTTGCTTCGAGGGCGTCCGGGTCATCGGAAAACTATTTGAGGGCCTTCAACATATGGGCAGAGTTCGCCAAGGGCGTGTTGGGCGTTCCCACTTTTCCTGTCGGTCCCATGGATTGTGCCCTCTATCTGCAGTTTCTTCTACAGTAATCGGAATAAGTCGGCGTCTGCCATCAACTGCGCTTTTTACGCTTTCAAGTGGCCTCATCAGGTTGCAGGAGTGGATTCTCCTACCCTACACCCCACCGTTATCTCCGCGAAGAAGGGAGCTCTTCGTCTTGTTTGCCAACTAGCCTCTCATAGGATAGAACCCCTCGAGGTGACCCATCTCAAGCAACTTGCTGAAAGGACTGACTTTGGCAATATTTTGCATTTAAGAAGCTTAGTTATGTTCGTCCTCGCCTTTTCCGGCTTTTTCAGAAGTTCAGAATTATGTCTCATTTGTATTAAGCATGTTCAATTCTTTTCTAGTTACGTTACTATTTTTATTAAGAAAAGCAAAACAGATCAATTAAGAGAAAGCCGTGCTGTCGTCATCGCTGAAACCCGTTCGTCTACTTGTCCTTGCTATCTTCTCATGGCGTACATGAGCAAAACGCATAGAGCCGGGAATTCTGACGACTATCTTTTTCGTCCTATTTCGTCTTCAGAATATCGTAAGCGTTTAGTTTTGGTTAACAAGCCTATCAGTTACTCTGCGTACAAGGATTCCTTTAAGTAGTCTTTTTCGGATATTGTACCTGACATATCAAGGTTTAGTACTCATTCCACGAGATCAGGAGGAGCTACTTTGGCAGCCAATTCAGGCGTCTCGGAGAGAAACATTCAGCGTCACGGTCGCTGAGCTTCCGCTGAAGCTAAAAACATCTATATATGTTAAAGACTCGCTATCTAGCAGGCTTGAAGTCTCTAAATCTCTTTCCCTCTGAGCTCAAGCCCTTTCTTTTACTATCTAGCATGGGCCCAGCCGACCGACCCGCCCATGCCTCCAAGCGTTGTTTTGTGTGTTCGGTTGTGTAATGGAGGCAAAATATGTAATTTTTGTAAATTAGAATTGACATAAATCATTATTTTGCCGGCACGGAACGGTGAACTGGGTTCTAGTGTAGCGCGCGTGGGACGGCGATTATGGGGTTCGAAAGAGTGACCGGTTAGTTATGCGTGTCATTCTACATTCGGCCCCGCCGCGTCATCTTGCTTTGTTTAGTTGAGTTTTCACTTATTCTGTTAGTCATAATCTCGTTACCATCCGTGGTGGTCCCTTTCTTTCTTAGCTATTTTATGTAGCATCTCGTTTTATGCTCATATTCATGTTTTTAGGCTTTATTTTATTAGTTTTGCTTTATAACCCAAAAGGCGACGCCATGGCATAGGTTGGGGTTGCACACGATCCCTATTTTTCCAATAGTTGTTTTTTTTTCGGGTTTACGTGTCCGGCCGTGGCGTGTTCTTAGAATTACTGTAACAGTGGATTTTTATCACGTGAGTTAATAAAATGTATCATGGGCCTGGCTGACCGACGCGTCCATGCCTCCAAGTGTTGTTTTGTGTGTTCGGTTGTGTAGTGGAGGCAAAATTTTACGAAATGTGACTGTTGACATCGCCTTTCCTCGTCGCTCGCTTGTGTTCAGTCAGTTGTGAGGTTTCTGCCAATCTCACCGATGTAGAAGGCGTGGCAGTCGGAGCGACTGATCTTATGAACGGCTCCCTGTCAGTTCCTCGGTTCGTCTTTGTCTGTGGCGTTAGTTAGTAACTGACGTAGTGTAGTAATGGGTTTGCAAGCGACGTGGATGCGCGAGATGATTTCAAATATGCCATTTATGTACGGTGTAGTAGGAGGATTGCGTTGTCGTTAGCTTCGGTAGTGGTAGTAAGTCGGTGAGTGTCTCGTAATAATATGATTTATTCATAGCATATCCACAACAAAAGATGGGGCTCTTCATCTGTGAAGGTCCTACAAAAGTGCTATCTATAAAAATTTAGATGTATGAGACAATACTCAAGAAAATTTATTACAAAACTACTAAGTTACTGTATGATCTATACGCTTTTGCGGATATTTAATAAATGAATGCAAAAGCGGGCTTGAAGAAGGAAAGGTCTTATAAGGAAGACAAAGCACGCGCTTTCAAAAATGTTTTAAAGAACCTACAGTCTTCCCTGAAGTTCGAGTAGTTTCTTATTTTGATTGGCAAATCATTAAAGACCATGGCTGTAAAGTGCCTTGAACTGGTGGAACAAGTAACCAGTTGGCGCTACATCAGAATAAAGATGTCTCAAAGGCTTTACGACTTGAAGATTTTAGTAGGAAGGCCAGTTATAAGTATAGAGTGCTTTGAAGACAGTCTTTAAAAGTGAAAAGTCCCTAAGCTCCAGAATAGGTAGCCAACCAAGATTTAAAATAGTGGATAATACTGTTTACATACGTAGTTAAAAAAAACTAGCGATAGCGAACTAGAGCCTTTGTAGTCTGGCTGTGAGAAACTTCGATAGAGGATCAAAGCAATATCACAGTAACTGATCTTAGATAAAATTTGTGTTTCTCCCAAATGTTTACGTAATTTGAAGTCAGTACAGTTCCTTATTTTCCTTAAAATCCTCAGAGTCGCGTAGCAGGATTTAAAAATAGAATTCATATGAAATTCCCATTTAAGATTTGAGTCGATGAGTACTCCTAAGAGTTTTGCTACATCCAAACGTTCAAGTGGAGTGCCGGAGATCTTAAGTACGAGCTCCAAATTCCCAAGGGAATACACACATGCCACCTGTGAGGAGGAGATTGGCATCGCCTTGGTCTTTTAGAATTGAGGGCCAGGTTCGAGTCATTCGACCAGTTGCTAAGGCTTACCAGGCTTGTATTCATGCTTTCTACCTGATATGAAATCTGCGACGCAGTACAGCTGGCGTATGCTGTTGTGTCGTTGGCATGCATGAGCATCCAACTGCTGGTAGAAGGATGTCTTGAAGATCCGCGACTTAGAGATTGAACAACATCGGTCTGAGAATTGAGCCCTGAGGGATTCCAAACTCGGATAGTATAGGTGAGGACTTGCGGTCATCGATCTGAACATAATGTCTCCTGCCGCGTTGGTAATTAGCCAACCATTCAAGAACACTCTTTGAAAACAGAAGTGGTACAGCTTGGTTATCACCGTTTTGAAGCAAACAGCGTCAAATGATTTTGAGAGTTACCTCTCTCTTTTTCGTGGCGCTTAACAAGTCGTACCGTATACCCAAGAGAACCCGCTTAGAAGTCGAGTGTCCCTAACGGAAGCTCGAGATGGTGTCTCTAAGGAGAGATTTTTTTGGCACAGAAATTGGCCATTTAGGAAGCAGCAAATTTTTCAAACACCTGAAAGGATGGACACTGGAGGCAGGTGGTCTACTGTGACTGGAGTGTCAACTTTTGGGGTAGGGCTTATACGCGCTACTTTCCAGACGTGTGGGAAGTACAGCCTCGAAATACAGTTATTGATGATAGCTGTGATAGGACCAACCAAGTGTTCGGCGGCCAGTTTTACGAACCGAGCCGGCAACTGATCGGGTCCTGTCGAACAATCCGTCCTTAGTTGTTTAAGGGTGTTCAGCACTTCTCTATGTGTAACATTTTTAAAATGGAAGGCATCCTCGTATATGTCCGACAGACCTCGAATAAGCTGGAAAAATTCGTCCACGGAGGTTGATTCAACACCAAGCGTTCTCTTTGCGGTCGAGGCAAAATGAAGATTAAGCTTGTCTGGGTCGAACCTTAGAGGCTGGCGATAAGGACTGAGTACACGGTGAACCATACGTTAGACTTCTTTAGATATGCTGGACAGCAAACCTTTTTCCATGAAGGCTTTACGTATAGCGCTCTTTATCTTGTTACGCACATCCCGAAAAGCAGTAACTGCTCCATAACTTCGAGTAAAGGGTAGGTTAAAATAGCCGTCGGTAAGATGAAGAGTCAGCCACTTACCTACAAGTCTATAAATAGACTTGACAAAATAATAGCGAGATAAAGGTATTTTTGTCGGCTCCACGGACTAAGTGTTCAAATCTCTTTGAATAAAAATTTTTATTGTTTATAGGCCAGCTTTGATTTGAACTAAAGACATCATCCTTCTTATCAAATGGAGTTACAATTATAGTGTACAAACTAATTTTGTGATCCGTTGAAGTCAAATGAAAGAATAAGTGAAATCGGTCTGACTGACAAAAGTAGATTTTTTTTTCAATCCCGTTCTGTCGCAGAAAGTGCCTAAGGCCCAAAGGAAAGCTATAGTCGACAAATAAGCTAATGGTTTACCGATAAAATCAATGCAAAACTTGTCCTTTTTGGATGAAAATTCTCCAATAAAGATGGCTTCCAGGGAGAAGTTGCTTGACTGCAAGGGACATTTTAAGGTTTTTATATGCTGTGACCATTAAGTTTGTCGTTGCACAAGGCGAAGAGAACTCACGCGATTGCATTTTATTAGCAAATAAAAGGCCTTTCATTCGCTGAACGCGTTTTTGTCCACTGTAGTTATAGAAACCCCCTCGATTGTGATTGGTTTAAAAAACTCCTGTTTTCCATCAATTCACTTGCCAAGCTATTATCAGACAGTTTGTCATCGGACAGTTCAATAAGCTAATCACATTCAAAGTTGTAGTTTAAATCAACCAATCACAACCTTGGTTTCAATCACAGTGACAACATTTTAGAAGACAGAAGTAATTTTGTTGGAAATTGTAATTTTTATGATTAATTGGTAATGAGACTACGTGTTATCCAATTCGGTCTGTAATTATAATCCTGTCGCTCGAATAATTTTCCTTCTCTTATCATGAGGTAGCCCCACTTGGTACGTTTCACCCAACAGAATAGTTCAGACGTTCATGCATGTTTTATAGACTAACTGATGTGAGATACTGCAACAGCAGGCGAAGGTGAACCTCATATCTGGTACAGTGGGCAGATCTTGATGAATACCAAAACGGAAATAACTTTACAGAATCACACGCTTTTCCTAATTGGAGAGCTTATAACATATGTCAGTGAAGTTTCATCAATCTAGACATCAATTTAGTGACTCAGCACTATCACGCAACATAGAACACGTCCTCAAGGAGTCACAGAATGGTTTTTTTTAAATTATTTATTTATTTTTACATATACAGGCTCATCATATTTGACGAAGGTGAGGTATCAGTTTCAGGGAGTAATTTAGGAGCAAGATATTTCAGGTTAAAAAGGAAAGGACACACACACATAAAACAACAACAACAATAGCAGGCACTCAAACAAACATAGACTTGAGCAGCGTGAGAAAAGTAGGAAAAAATAATAGTAATAAAATAATAAACGCCAAATAATGACCTCTGGGAGTATCGAATTTTTATCTCAGAAATCGTGGGATTCCGGTTTTAACTGCGCATGTCTACATTGTTAAGTTATTGCTTCCGGTTGACTTCTGCGCGTGCTCAAAATAGAGAACGCGGTCCGCTACGCCCGCGGAAGAAGGAAAGAACATAAATTACCTTTGTGTATGTGAACTTACGACTCATCGTAACTAATCGAAAATGTTATTTATAAAACCAAAAGAAAATACCGAGATTTTTTCTAGTGCACCTTCCGATGCTCCTAGAAGTTTGGAAGTGAAAGAAAAAGGGATAAAGTGATGGCCTTTCACGCAGCTTTTACGCTGTTTTCAGGTTCCCGCGCGAGGTGAATCGATTGCAAGCTAATTGGTAAAGCAAGCATAGGTGCAGCAATTTCATCTACTCTAAGGGAATTGAGCTTAGAGGAAATGAAAAAGGAACAACGGCAAACTCCAGAAGCGATTGGTTTCGATTCCAGAGAAGTCCTCCTGCCTCTACTCC